TTTGTTGTGGCTTTGGAACTGTGTATGTGTATGGAGCAACATCTCTATGTATTGCATCATGATTAAAAACTAAAGAAAAGCTATTTGTGTTCCAGGATTATTCATGTATTACAATGGAGGAAGTTGAAGATCAAAGTTGAAAATCAAAGCTGTAGATCAAAGAAAAGCTTTAATTTCAGTGTGATGCACACAAACGTTCTGGGAAATAAATGCAGTCCATTGCAGTCTTTTTCAACAAAGAAATTAGTTAAATGTTTCAGAACTAGAATGCTAATCAAAATGGCCAGAAGTAGAGCAATTTTCCTACACAGCTAATAACATAACTACAATGTTAAGGTATAGCAGACTGGGAGTGAAGTTTTTTTAGCTAGATATAGTTCTCCCTTAAGGTGATTCTGACTGTCAAGGAATGAATGAAAAAGATCAGCCTCTAAAACATAACGTTTCCTTCTAGCCAACTGAAAAAATAAAGTGCTAGTATGCGTCAGCATTTTACATGTTTCACTTAGCAAAATGCTTTTGTATCTATTTAGTCAAGTGTCAAATTTGTTCAGAGTTTCTTTCTGGAACACATTTCTGTGATTAAATGACTTGTCATCTCAATTAGTACAGATATTATTTACTTCAATCATCAGACTGTATTTAGCACAACAACAACAAGAGAAATAAGTATATATGATCAGTATCTTAAGCCTTAACCAAATACCCAGAAAAAATAGGCATCCAGCTCCTAAGAAAGAAGTTCTTTAGCTGATTCCCACATGTACTGAACCAGTATTTTCTCCAGTACTTTCTACAGATGCTTGCTAATAAGTCCTTTAACTAGGATTCTGCATGGGATAAAGATAGTGTTGGTTTGGGGCGACAAATCATCTGAAGGCAATAGCAGTCATTTTTGCTTATACCAGGGTTGAATTTTGCTCCAGATATCTTTTGGGCACATCTGTAAGTGCAACTAATGTGCCTGAACCTTCTGTGAAGAAAATTCAGGCTCATTAAAGCATTTCTGGGTGCACATCTACATGGAGCTCCCAATGGGAGCAGTTCAGTCTAGGGATGCCCCTGCCCTCCTGTAGCAGCCAGGGGGAGCTCCAGGCTCCCCTGGGTGCTAGCACTGAGGGTCAGGCCTGGGCTGCAGAGAGCAGGTGAAAGCTGTCCAGGAGCAGGGGACAGCTTCCACCTGCACAGACCTTGGGATTGCAGCCCAGCTCAGCAGCACTGGCTTGGGGCAATGCCCTATGTCCAACTGTGGGAGTAAGTAGCACCAAGACCATGGGGAGATGTAGAGAGGAGGCAGTGCCAGGACTGGTGGGGGGGCGGCACAGGGGAGAAGCAGCATTGGGGGAAGAGCTTCCCCTCATATCTCCCCTTGGTCCTGGTGCTGCTTTTCCTCCATGTCTCCCCCCCAGTCTCTGTACTGTTCAGCTCCCAGCTCCCCCCAGTAATGGGTGAGGGGCAGGAGCTGACAGGAGCACGTATTCCATGGGCAGCGGTAGGTTTGAGAGGATAGGGGATCTCTCTGTCCCCATAGCCTTGCTGCTGCCTGTGTAGCACACACCCTAGTCAGCTCCTGCTCCTCTTCTGTGCCTGGGGGTTAACCAGGAGTTGAGCAGCACCAGGACTGAGGACAAAGAGCTCCCCTGTCACAGCACTGCTCAGCCCCTGGCTTCGGGGGGCAAGGGGGCGGAGCTGGGAGCTGAGCTGTGCCAGAGCCACAAACAGCTCCCTCCCACTGCCTGCTGTGGGTCCATGCTGCCTAGGCTGATCAGAAGCAAATTGCTTCTGGTCAGTGTCTATATGTGCACTACTGCACAGTATTAACGTGCTGTTAATATAGTACCTGTATTTGTTGATACTAGCAAATGACATGTTAGCCTAAGTTACTGCGCAGTAAGTCCTGCACATGTGCAGATGCTGATGCTTAACCACACATTATATTAGTCTAATGCTCAGTAAAGCATCTTGTGTTCTTTGATGCATTCTTTGATTAGTGAGATGCTTACAAAGGATTTCTAAAGCTACTCCTTGCTTCAGCCAGTGTTGCCATCATAGAGCATCACATATATACAGGTCAGTCGCATCATACGCGCATTTAACTTAGGCGAATTCAACTATACGCGGGGCGGGGGGGGCTTGAGTTTGCACGCAGTGCTGCCGCTTACCTGGAGGCCCATTATGGCGGTTACAGCCACAGCGTCCAAAACCTCCCGCTGTCACCATGGAGCCATTCCCAGAGCTGTGTGGCCGACTGCCGGTGGCACGCAGCCATCCCCACCACCCTGCGCTGCGCCGCTGCTGCCGGCCACACAGCTCTAAGTACAGCGCCACGTGCAAACTCAAGCCCTGCCCTACTTCCCACCCCACGTATAGTCACCGATATTCACCTTACGCGATTTTCACCTTGTGCGCTGACTTCAGACCCTAACCCCCACGTAAGATGCGACTCCACTGTACTAGGCAATCTGACTGTCCAACAGTTTAGGTCAAAAAGTCAGCCTGTCAATGCAGTTTATTTTACTATTGATGTATAAAATTTATTATTAATACAGGTTTGCCATTCAACATTAGTTTATAAGTAAAAATGATCATGGTAGAATATATTTTAATTAAACAAGTCTTTAATTATTGAAAAATATATTATCATCTCTTGATAATTCTGTGTGAATTATTACATTATATTATATACACCCTTATGTTTTGTCTTTTTTCATATACAGTTGTAAAAATATGATGACGCCACTGGATAGTACTTTTGTTCCATCATAACACAATGTGACTGATAAATTTATTATGTTGGTTGCAATTCCCATTTGTGGTTCTGAAATACTCATGATTTAGAACTTTGCTGTTCCTTTAACAGGAAATTAATATGGTTTCTGTATCAAATTACATTCCACGGAATTGTTGAATCCAGGAAGACTCATGTGCATTTAACAAGATAACATAGCTACTTAATACAGTACCTAAAACACAGCAATGCTAAAAAGTTTGACCTTTTTAGTTCAAAAACTAGTTTGTGTTACCTATTACAAGCCTGATAAGACTTTTCATGACTCATTAATCTTCATCTGGGTCAGATAAGTTCCAGCGTGCTACAGTACTACCAGACATCCTTTTGCAGTTACACAGAATGACTACTCTGAGCTGCCAAAAAATATGTTCTATTGTCTGAAAAAAAAAAAATCATGCCAGACCTTTAATTAGTCATTCCTTTTCAGCCTGTCTCCAACACAGGAAGTCTTTGGATATACAGCAATTTGAAAGAGGAAAAATCCTTTAACTTTAATTGAGACATCAGCTTGCTGCCCCTCAAAGAAACTTTAAGAACTACTCCCGGCATCTCATTATTTAATCTAAGAGAAATAAAACCTAGCCTTACTACAGTCCTTTGCAGAGTAATTCTCTCGTGAAAACTGGTGGGTTCTGAAATATTCAGCTTACTTCTCCAGTTCTGCTCCTTGCTATTTTTAATATGTTAAAAATCAAATGAATATGTAAAGATCTACAAGAAAGCACAAAATGTTTCTATTTTTTTCTACCAAAAGTGTCGTACAAGTTTAGTCACAAATTTCAAGTGTAAAGCTTGGGAGATGCCTATATATAGCTTATACAACCTGTGTTTTGAAAGGTGGTTTCTAATTGCCTAAAGAAACCTTGAACTTAGTATCCGGGATAGCTGTATACAAGTGGGATTGTTTAAATCTGCTTCGAAAATTCCTGTAGCATTTCAGTAGAACTATCACTATGTTGATATCTTTTTTTTAGTATCTAGTATCCTATGCAGTTCCAAAATTAGATAATATTAGGGAGATTGTATAGGAAAAACTGGAACTATAGCTCAGTTAATCAACATCATTACTATTACAGTACCTGAAAATGATGAAAGTAAGAACATGAAGCCTTTGATAAAGATCAAACTGTGATATGACCAGTCCCAAACTTTTGGTAGGTTTAGACTCTAATACAAGATTTCCAGTTTAGGTCCTACTGCATTTAAGTCAGGGAGGGCCATAATTTGGTCTCTAAAGTTGTCACAAGTCCTGTTGACTTAACTGACTCTTGCCTGTTAAAGGTCATCAGAGGTGTAAAAGTATATGGAAAAAGCAGGGAGTAAAAGATCAAGCTAAACGTTTAATCCAAACTAACTTTCGCTAAGTTTTTTTTTTTTAAGTGTATCTGGTTTTTAGTGGTTAGTTCTACCTTTAAAGAATGACAAGGTTCTTTAGGTAAATCCAATATCTTTTATTAGACCAACTAATAAAAGATTGGTCTAATAAAAGATATCAGATTTACCCAAAGAACTTTGTCTGTCTGTGTCCTTAGATCAACACGACTACAACCAATACCTTTAAAGAATGACACTATTTAATACCCTTTCTTCCTAAACACTCAGGGCATATATACACATGCAGGGAGGCTGCTCTGACATGCTGTAATTACAGTGTGTTAGAGCAGACTTAATTAATCATTGTGCTCCAGCAGATTACAGTATTATGTATATCAGCGCCCCTGCACTGAAAAATGGTGGTGGGGCGGTTTAAACTAAAGCTTGTTTAGCGAGTTGTAGTTTAAAGTGTTGTGCCGCCATTTTTCAGCACAGGGATGCTGATACACACGATGCTTCAGGCGCTTTTATTAGTGCGGCTCTTGGAGCTGGGTTAATTAAAGCACCTTTCCTTTTCCACCCCCCTCCTCAGCCTTCTGGAGCACATCTATAAATGCCCCAAACATTTCTTTTTGAATGCTCTACTTGGCATTCAGAATTGTTCGTATCTATGCCCTATGTGCTTGCCCAGAGTTCAGTAAAGCTGTGCAAGCAACACTTGCATGTGGAAACCAGTTAATTGATTACTTGCACATGTCAGTAAAGCTTCTGCTCCAAAAAAAATCACTGTTTGCATATTTAAAAAAAAATGGTTGGGAAAAACCTTTAGCCCCCTTTGAAAACATAGTACCCTAAGTAGCTGATCATTGGTTTGCTCCTCTCTGCTCGTTTCCAGAGGAGATCTGTACCCTGGTCATTGCAGAGACTTTTCCTGAAGATTCCGGAACCTTCATATGCACAGCAGAAAACGAGTACGGGTCAGCAACGAGCAGTGCACAGCTGACAGTCTGCTCAGGTATGCAACAAAGGGAAGGAGGATTTTACATTGCAGGACTTAATAAGTTGCTATATTCATGAGAAATCTGTGAAGTTTATCTAGGAACTTTCTTTGCAGAAAGCAGCTGTTTCAGGACACAGAAACTTTGCTGGGCACCTCCTTGCTGTACCTCCAATTCAGTCTTTCTGAGAGTAGTTTCACATCCCCCATCACTGCCTGAATCTGCTCTCTCCAAGTCTGGGAACTGCTTCTGGTGGAGATGGGGAAGGCTAATGCGTTTATCCTCAAAAGACATTAAAAAGGAACCATATGGATCCCCGTAAATATCTTCCAGAAATCCAGCTGCTAATTGAAAGGGTCAAATACTATCAAGCAGCAACAGCTGAATCAGCGTTGTCTCTTCCTGGAGCAACAGAGCTGTTCAGACAATTTGTTTTACTGAGACCAAAAGCAGCGGAAAAAAAATAACAACCGAAAAGCTGCTCACTAAGCAGCTAACGTGTTCATTAGGTTGGTTCACAAAGTAATACAAATATAGAAAAAGAACCAGTACTCTGTGAAGAACATTGTAGTAGTAGTATCCTAAAGAATAAATTACTGAAGAGAAACTGGACACATCTACACATTCATCAATGTGCCATAGTTACTGCGCATTAATCAATACACAGTAACTGGCACTACTGCGCAGTAGCACCGGTGCATGGCTTTTTAGTGACACTAACTGCACAGTAGTCTAATATTACTGCGCAGTAGCATATTAGCAGTTTTTGCTGTGACACACTACTGCATAGTAGTATTAGGCTACTGCGCAGTTAGTGTCTCGTGTAGAGAATCAAAAATCAGTCCAATGCACCCTCAACTATTTTGCGTTCTTAAAGATATGGGTCTCCCAGATTTGGCTCAAGAAAAAAACATTAAGAAATCCAAGTTGAATGCTGTTGACCACTTGTTAGTGCTAATGCCAGTAAGACAAACAGATTGCTAAGGCAGACTGGAGACCAGAAATGCATTCTTACTAGGGGTATCCAAAGTGGGCCATATTTGATTCAGTTTCAGCCCAATTTGGGGGACAGTGATTTGATTCGTTGATTTGGATCACTGTCCCAATTCAATTCAGGTGAATCCGAATCTGAAAATACTGATTTGGAAAAGCAGTGATTTAGCCATAAATACAGCTTTAAATGTTTTTTCTACGTACCTCGAGGTACCAGGCATGGCTTGTGAATGCTGAGATGATGGGGCAGATGGAGCATCCCAGAGGAGCGTGGTGGGGGCCCCCCACATGCTCGGCAGCAGACCCGGAAGTAGACTGGAAGTACTTCTGGTCCACTTCCAGGTCCGCTGCTGAGCACATGGGGGGCCACCCCCTGCACCCTCCCAGCTCAGTGATTGGCCACAGGGGGACCCTGAGGGGGTCCCCATGCACTCCATCCATCTGCCCTACCATCTCAGTGTTCACAAGCCATCTGGTACTTTAAGGTATGTAGAAAAAACATTTAAAGCTGTGTCTATGTAAAAATTAAAGAATCTCTCCAAATTGATTCAGAGGGTTCCGATTCAATTTGGAAAGATTAAAGGGTCTCGTGATTTGAGTCAGATTTGGAGATTCGGCCGCCGAATCAGGCTGAATCTCCGCCAAATCGAATGAGCGACCAAAGCTTCACACAGCCCTAATTCTTACTGCCTTTGTTGCTGTCAATTCGAGTACCCTTTTTAGTTGCTTCTGTAGAGCAGCATTTGTTGCAATTAAGTGGCAAGATTTGGATGCTAGAAAACCTGTGTCCTGTTCCCAGCTCTTTCACTGATGACCAGTATGACTTTGAACTAGTCACTTGCCTATCAGAGCATCACTTGTTTCATCTTCAGAATGGAGAAAAATATTTACCTGTCTTGAAGATGAAGCTATTTGAAGATTTATATAAAGTGTGTTGCTATCCTTAGCTGTAATACAACCATGTAAGTGCCAACAATGAGTATTTGTTGTAAGTTTACTAATCGTATGTTTTCATTTATGCAAAGAACATTTGAAAAAAATAATCCAGTGAAGCCTGACAGATTCTTTAACATCATGCTTCCGGGGCTAGATGGCAGTAGAGGCAAAATGAAAATAGATGAAGTTATACTAGCGAAGATGGAAAATAAAATTCTTATGTTCTGTGTAAAATTTAAAACAGAAATGCTGACTGCTTAGTTCTGTAATGTGCAACTTGATGTTGTTGCTGACTTTGTGTAGTGAACTTTAACAAGATTCCAGTGCAGAGATTTTATTCAGCCAGCCATTCTTAAATATATATAAACTACTTGCTGTTCTTAACTGGCAACAAGTGCCACCTCCATCCTGGGCAGAGATGGAAAATGAATAGTCAGTAGCATATCTAATCTGGCGTGAATATTTTTGAGAGCTCCAGAAAAAATATCCAATTGGCATAGGAACTATTCATAATGAAAATGTAGTGATCTCACCTTTTTAATAAGCTAAAAGCACACTGCATACATGTGTTGTGAAGTATCTGTTATGACGACTGCATATGACTTGTTGGACAGGAATTATCTCCTTTTTTGTTTTAGCCAACTCGGAAAGCTCTTGCCATGAATTGTCAGTAAGAGAATCCAACTGTGATGATTTCCAGCATTTCCCGCCTCCCCCTCCAATGCTTGAGATTAGTTCTCTTGAGCTTCCTCCAAAGAAGCACACAGAGAGCCACCAGGTGAACAACACTGAACGTAGACCCAGTGTAGCAGCTCTTCAGTTACAGCTAAACTCTTCTGAGAAGAAACCTAATGGCATCCATCCCAGTCATGGAGTAAATGGTGTGATTAATGGCAAAACTAACAGTGATAAATCTACCCCATCTCCAGCTGTCTTGCTTTCACCCACCAAGGAGCCGCCACCAGTGCTTGCCAAACCAAAGCTGTGAGTATTTCTGCATGGTGTTTTAATTCTCCTTTTCCTAAATTTGCTAGCTGTTGAAAGCAAACCTTCTACCCTAAACATTGTCTCCTTGACAAATAATGGCCAAAACTGTGACTGTTTCTTGATTAATGCCTTTCTTGTTAGAGTGGATGAAATCCCAAACAGCTGAATGCAAGAAAAATCAGCAAACTTTAATTTATGATGATAGCATATTAAAGTATATTAAGCATACTAAAATTAATATTGTAGCATAAAACCACAAAACAAAAGCAATGCATATTAATGGATGCTAATGTCCTTTATTCAACCACTTGTAATACATATGATATATACAATTTAATTTATTTTATTATATTAGGATAATACAACATGCATAAGCTCCTTTCATTGACATCCTATTCATAATGGTTCTGAGCCACTATAATAAGATATGTAATAGCATATGATGGGGGGAAGAGGGATACAGAAATTACAACAAATAAAAAAACCATACATTTTTGGCCTGGTGCCTGTTACATTACAATTTATATTACATGATAGATTTCAGCTTGGCTTTGGGGGGGGGGGTATAGATTATGTCTTAAGTATCTGTACAGCAGTGCATTTTGGCACGTAGACGTGCTTGAAGACTGCACAGAGACTCCTTTTTCCAGCCCTACTAAAGACTTGTCCAGTCAGGAGGACAGACTAAAATAATTTCTATCTTTTTCTTATCTGTATCTTTGCTCATTGTTACCAGGAATTAGTATATCAGAAGGGCTGATTGAAATTATCAGATCAGAGTAGTACGTTTATAATGAACCAAATCCATTTTTGGAAAAAGGAATAGGATTTTTTTGTTTGTTTTTGTTCTGTTGTTTTTAAATGGGGCTAAAGAAAGGCAGAGAAAAGAGGATCTTTCCTCCATTGCCCCAAAAATTCCATATATTGATGTATTATCCAGAAGGCATACATTTTTTAATTGATTTTTCTCGTGCTAAACTTATTCCATCTTTTGTAATTTAATGCAATATTTAGACCAAATTCTACACCTCCGACTCCTGGAGAACTCTCATTAATGTTTTACTGATGTCATTGTGAGGCTTCCAGAGCAAGTGCTGCCAGATTTGTCCCTAGTTTTCTTAATTATTTGTCTGTTTCTGTTAGTCACACCATGAGGTGCATCCCAGGATTGATTCATGTTCTTTCTGTACAGTGAGTATGGTGCTTCTTTATAAGTGATCCAAACCAAAATATTTATATACATTCTGAACCATAACCTGTATCAACATGTTGTTTAAAAAAAAGGGTAATCTAGTACAATAGTGAAGTTGAGAACCACCAGTAGAATCAGTTGAGTAACTTCTGGCTATGTTCATATTCAGAAGTCTATAAGACTAGTAATTTAGGTAACAGAAACAACATTCATTATAAAAACAACAGCTAAAAAGCCTGACTTTGGACTTAGGGATGTCTTGCTGCAATCATATTCAAAATCATTAAATGTAGTTGTTTAAATAAAAATATTGTGTTCAAACAGTATTCAGATTAACATGAAGTCAGAGAAGCTGAATCAGGAGGGATTAACAGGCTACAACAGCTTCTTTTGCTTTGAAGTTCAAAACCCTTCAATTTTAAGTTCTTGATCAGAACTATCATGAGTAAATTAAAAATATTATCTTCCTACGTTTTTCAGCATGTCTGTGAAAAACAGACAGAACAGTTTTGTGGTTAATGAAAAAGTGGATGAGTGGCTAAGGCACAAGTTTTTAGACTGACATTATTAGTTCTTTTTGAGTCAGACTTTCAGCACAGAGCTCAGGTACAGAACTGGGCAGTATTATTATTATTATTTATTCTCTAATTCTTGTTGGTTGGGTTTTTCAGAAGAGGATATGCTCTAGGTGCAGAACTCTAAGAACAAAATCCAGGTATATAAAATAATCAGAATTAGAAATGAGTTGAGCCTAGTTATGAGAGTTTGGACCTCCTTGTAAATCCCACATCCCTTTTCTTTTGTAGTAAATTAGCTTCTGATCTGTTTTATCCTCCCAACATTTCTGTCCCTGCTGAAAGGAACCCAACATTTGCTATCCTTGCACAAGTATAAAGTTATAAACTAGTGAAGCAAACCTAATTTCAGTTAACTGCAAAATCTGTGCATATTAAGCAATTAGATTCTACCTGTCCAAAAGGAAACTTGCTCAATCACTTCAAAATCTAAATGCGCCTCTGCCGTGAGAACATGTGCAATTGTATTAAAATCTTGAGGTGAAATTGTGGGCTGTATTTTTGAGAGGAGGAGGAGATGAAGAGTTAAAGAAAGCTTAAGCCACCTGTATTCCCTGTCAGTTCTATTCTGCTCTAGAGGCTAGGTGGATCCTAGCAAAATCAAAACAGGATTGTACGTGTTAAGGCAGCAACCTATCACTTGCTGTCTTAGTGCTGCATTGTACTGTACCTAGAATTTCTCCTAGCCTTCATGCTGCAGCTACACTCCTTGAATCTTAGCACTTTCCTTTTACCCAAGTTAAAGGGGGCCTTCCTGAAGCAGATTGCTGCTGTCTGAATCAGTCTTCACTGGAAATATTCTCTATAAACTGGATTTGGACTTTTTAGAGCCTCATTATAACACTTCAGGTCAGTCTGCCGGGCTGGAGTCCTGGTCAAGATGTGCCCTCATAAACAAATGGTTACAATAAAAATATCCTGCAGAAATGTGATACAGTGTAATAGACAAAATGCAAACAGAGCAATGAGGTAATTTATATTGGCATTCTGTGAGCTAAAAGAAAAGGTAAAATATGAGAATTTCCTTGCTGGGGTAGCGAAGTATAGCAGGAGGAGACCTACTTCAACCAGATGCAACCTTTCTGTGGGTGTTCAACTGTTGCCACCACTTCCTTGCTTCCTGACCTACATACAAAGTCTGAGGTTGATCAGTAGCAGCCACATGTAAAGGGGCATCTGTACCTGGCCTGCAAGAGCAGCACCATCACCCAACGAGATTATTTCTACTCTCCTGCACTGCTCACTAAAGATGAATTGTTTCTGGTAGTGGACTCGCCTGAGCCTTTTTACACCTTTCTCCCCTCCTCTCCATTACCAGACCATTAAAAAACATAATATTTAGGTTAGTAGCAATGTGGGCTATAATTAAAATCCAGAAATTCAAAAAACAATGGCTAATTAGGTAATCTTGACACTGAAAAGCATGGTTGATTGGTCAAATCCTGCAGTAATCACATCTAAATGATTGTTTTGGGCAGGTGGTATATTTATTCAAAATCCATGTCACTGGGGAGGAACTAAATACCACAGCAACATGAGAAATGCAGAAGATTATTTAATAGACAGCAGCGAGAAGAAATAATCTTTTTTTCCTAAATCAATGCCCAGTTTCGTTAATTCAGATGAGTTGGTCCCTTCTTTCTACAGCATGCCACTATAATAATCAAGTTCATTCAATAGAATGATTAAGTAAAAGCTCACAGGATTATTATTTATCTAGTTTCATTATATTTATATTTTTCACCAATTTCACCTTTTATAAACCCACTGTATATATTTAGGTTGAAATTGCATTATGAAGATGAATTTAAGATTATGTAGTAATGACATGTTCAAAGAATAAAAGGATATTCTAATTATCCAAAAGGCAAATGTTACAAATCAGGAAATGCAGAGTTAAAGTTGAACTTAAAAATCAAAAAATATCCAACTTCTAAGCAGCCAGGTGCCACATGCCCTGGTGGCACACTCCCTGCTGGCCACACTGACACAAGCCCCAGGTCCCCTAGGCTGCATGCCATGTGGGTGCCCCAGCATCACTCTTTAATTCTGCTTTTCAGGTCCAGGTTGAGGCAATGTAGCTAATTTGTATAGCTATAGGATCCTGTAGATGTAACAGTTGTAGCATAACAGCTAATGTACACTTTCAAGCACCAGTTCCTCTTCTTTTGAAGCAGCTGAAATCATAGGCGACGCATGGGGGAAGCATGGAGGGCACATGCACTCCCAGATTTCTGCACTGACTGTGAGGTGTGGGGCTGCAGTCCCCAGAGCCAGTGCCCAGTAGTAGTGGGGCAGAGGCAGCAGCACAGAGTTGTGCCCCCTATTGTCAACACTTACACATCACCTGCTGCTGAAATGTACATGAGTCCATCCTCTTGGTCACTTTAAAAACTAGCACAATTTTCAGAGGTGCTGAGTACCTATAGCTGTCATGGATTTGAAGGTGGTTGGCACCTTTGATGGGCAAGCTGGCTAGAGGTTAATTTATCCTCATCCATCCTAAAATCTCTACCCTAAACAAATACATATCTCAAATTCACAATATCAGTGGCAGAGGCACAGACTAGAATCACAAGAGCCAGTGCTTTATTCAGTTTGGCACTACTGTCTCTGTTTTGCATATTATTCTGATTTCTTGCTTCCAACATAATAAAATAACACATGTATTTAGGAATGCATATGTAACATATTCTGCACTGACAGTTTTTCCTGCAGTGATATATGTGTATTTGGTTGCATTAAGCTCAATTCTAAATGCATTTGGCACCAGACCAAGTCAATAACTATCATCATTACTCATAAGGATTACATTATTTAGTCTCGATAGCCATATGTCAAGAATATTGTGGGGTTTTTAAAACTTCCTTCTGTACAAGGGTGACTACAGTAATTCTCTAACTTCTGCCAACTTTTGCTTCAAACTCAAACTGTCATAACTGTCATAAATCAGTATTGGATACATGTGCCATTTTCATGCAAAAATTACGTGTATATTGGTTGCAATAGCATAGTGAAAGTTGGGTTGTGCACTTGTAACAAGGGTTCAGTCTCATTGCTCACAGAATGTATATATATTTACAAGTTAATATTACATTAAGAACTGTGCCCCCTGCAAAATTAAGTATCTCTGTGTGTCAGTCTCTTCCCTGTCCCAAAGAATCTTAGTAGAAATATGTGAACATTTCAGAATTTCTGAACAGAACAGGGTTCCTTGGGTGAATTTGATA